AATGACACTCAAAAGGTCTTGCATTAGCAGAGACAAATCTTTAAATCCATCTAACTTAGCTGGACATCATTCCTGTATCCCCATCCTTCCTGACGCCCGAGTCTTTCTTAGAAGGGTTATTGGTAGGTTTTGTTTGTTTGTTTGTTTTGAGGCTTTTGCCATTGTGCACATGTGCTCACCAGAGAGCAGAGAGACAGTGAAACAGAAAGTGAGAAATCTCTCCCCCAGGGGAGCTAGCCACACTGCAATCCCTTCTCTTCTATTCTCCTCCTAGGATTTTGGGCACACATGCACATGCACCCAGCTTGATTCTCAAGCTTCTGATCTGGAACACAAACCATTATGAGCCAAGCGTGAGCCCAGCACCCTGTCCAGCACCCTAACCACCATGCCAACTGCTGGCATCTGTGTGTTATTTTAAGTAACATATATCTAAGCATTTAGGGTCAGGGTAAGACATTTGGCATTTTGCAGCATTCATTTTCCAGAAAACAGAGATTTCATGAAATTAGCATCTTTTAACTTAAGACATAATGCATTGCATCTATCAGATGTAATTTGTCTTCTCAGTAAAGCTCTACAACACTCTGTTTTAATTTAATTTTTTAAAAGAATTTTTTTTAATTTTATTATTATTATTTTAAATTGCTACAGGTCAGAAGAGCTTACCAGAGAGAGAGAAAGAAAGTGAGAAAGCAAACCACCAGGTCTGGGACTCAAACCTCGGTCAGCCACAGGAGATTCTTCTCACCTTAATCACCCTTTAATTTAATTTTTGTACATCATATTCATTCTACTCTGTTTCAACCACAAAACACTTGAATCTACTAAAAGAGATGGAAAATATTACTATTACCAGTACAGGTTTACTTGGGGATAAATGTAATGTGCTTATCTCATCAGATTCCAGAAGGATTTTATGAGGTTGTTTTTTGTTTGTTTGTTTGTTTGTTTTAAGAGATTTTTGCTGTAGGGTGTGTGTGCTCACTGGAGAGACAGAAAGTTAGAAATCACCCCTCAGGGGAAATGGCCATGCTGAAATTCCTTCTCCTTCATTCTCCTCTCAGGATTTTGGGGACACTCTTACATGTACTGCCTGGCACGAGTTTTAAGCCACCAGATCTGGGACTCCAGTCTGGGTCAACTACATGGGAGTCCAGCAACGTAACCATTATGTCATCTGCTGGTGCCATTGGTTGCTTTAACGATAGCCTTTTCCACATCAAATGCCTTTCATGGGCACGTGCAGCCTATGAAATAAGGCACCGAAGCATAGCACATCCATGTGATGTCGTTGACTTTGCACTTGCCCTTCTCTTCTGTGTCCCAATGTTACTTGCAGAGGCACAGCCGTGTCAGTGAAGCCTCTCACAGTCCTGTGTCAGACACTGTAGGCTAATTTCTAACCCCTTACACATTATGCTATAGTATTCCAGGTAGTTCATTTTTAAACAAAACACAGATATGTATTTCTTTCACACAGCAGTTCTAAGTAAGGTTTAAAATATCTATATTGTTAGGCCAGAGATTTAACTGTTGGCCTTTTGCCAGTGCTTCTCTGAATACAGAATAGTGCTGCTTAAAGCAAGAATAATAAGAAAAAAAATTCTATCTTATTTTCTTTTTATTTTTTTATTGCCATAGGACATTTGCCCTCACCAGAGAGGGAAAGGGAGAAAGCACCCTCCAGTGGAATGCAGTCATGCTACAGTCCCTTTTCTTGCATTTCTCCATGCTGTAAGGATTTAGGGCACACAGGCATATGTACCCATAGTATTTTTCAATCCACTAGGGCCAAGATTTGAACCAGGTGTTGACCTGAGAGAAGAAAGAGCTCTGGCTCTCTATGCACAGCATTTCTCTGCTGTACTATGGGGCCAGCCCTACAAGATGCTGTTTTACTTGATGCTACTTAATACCTGATAAATTGACTTATGAAAGAGAAAGAAAAGTCAAATGAAATAGCTAGGTAAATGACAGAAACCTGCCAGCTGAGCCAGATGTGTGAGCTGGAAGTGTGAGGTTGATAGTCGAGGTAGCAGAGGTGCATGTGAAAGGTGAGATCAGATAGATTCCCTGAGAATCAGTATTCAGGCCTCATAAGTGTAGAGACAAAAGGAAGAAGGAAACAAAAAGCAATCAAAGGAGGAAAACAGCACAGAGCAGTATAACAGAAGCCTATATTTAAAAGTTTATTACTTCAAGCCGAAAATATAACTGTGTTTAGCTATGGTAACATTATAGGTCATGTGAATCAGAGCCACTGAACTTACGTTAAACTACTTTATTTTAGGTGTTCCAAGTAGCTGTTGGCTGTGACCGCGGAAAATTCATTGCAGTAAAAGGGCAAGTATTTCATTTGACCTGTCTTCCTCTTTAAAACAAATAATGAACTAAATGCTAATTACAAATGGTAATATTAGCCTAGTGACTGACATCCATAATGAATTTCAAAATAGGGTTGACATTGTTGTCGTTTCAATTGGTATAAACTTTTTTTTTTAGGTTTTGCTTTAAGGCATGTGTGCATGCCAGAAAGAGAGAGAGAAAGGAAGAGAGAAAGAGGGAGAAAGAAGTTAAGTGAGAAATCACCCCCTTTTGTGGAGGATGGCCATGCCACAGTCCTTTGTCTTCCATTCTCCTCTCAGGATTTAGGGCATGCACACACATGCACCCAGTGTAATTTTCAAGCTGCTGGATCAGGAACTCGAACTATAAAATTGGCCATGTGGGATACAGCACCTTAACCTCCATGCCACCTGTTCACCCTATATAAACTTTCTGACAAGCCAAATATTACATTTGAATCATACTAAAAAAGCAAAGCATTCTTCTTCACCTCTTTTTTAAAAAGTATTATTTATTTAATTTTATTAATTACTATTATTATTTTCAAATTTTCTATAGGCACATGCACTCATGAGAGATACACAGAGAAAGAGAAAGCAAACCTCCAGGTCTGCTACTCAAGCCATGGTGAGACATATGGGATTCTAGTTCTTTTACCACTATACCACCTTCTGATCCTCACCTCCCTTTTAATAAGGCAATTTCTTTTCTCTTCTTTTTTTTCTTTTTGCCAGTGGGCTTTATGTGGCTCACCAGAGACAGACAGAGAAAGAGGGAGAGGGTGCGGAGAAAGCCCCCCTTGTTGGGTATAGTCATACCTCAATCCCTCCCCTCTGTGTCCCTCCTTTGGGGATTTTGGACATGAATGTACACTTATCTGGCATATTTTTCAAACATCTGGGTCAAGAACTCAAACACCAACTAGTGCCAACCAGCCATGTAGGATTGAGCTGCTATAACCACCAGGCATCAGAACCAGTCCAATAAGCCAGTTTCTATCTTTGCAATTACCTCTCAGCTCTTGAGTCTACAGCTCAACCCAGAGAAATAAGAGGGAGAAATACCTACCTCTGTTTTATATCCCACTGAAATCAGTTATAATTTTATTTCTTTTTTTAAAAGAATTATTTTATTATTTATCTTAATTTGACCAGAGAGGGACACAGGAGAGAGAGAAATAAAGAGAGGGAAAGTGAAAAAGCAAGCAGGCAGGTCCGGGACTCAAACCGCAGTTGGTCATGTGGAAGTCCAGTGCTCTTAACCACCACACCACCTGCTGGTTCCAATGTTTTTACTTATGTCAAAGAAGCCTTGGTTTTCTGCATATTTTTTTTTTTGAGAGGTTTTTACTATAGGGCATGTGAGCTCACCAGAAAGCCAGAGAAAGCCAGAGAGACAGAAAGCCAGAAATCACCCCCCAGGAGGGATGGCCATGCCGCAATCCTTTCTCCTCCATTCTCCTCTTGGGATCTTGGGCACGCACGCACACA